AAAGAAAATCAATGTCCCAAAGACCTGGTAGTCTAAATAGGCTAAATAGCTGGGAGGGGCAACTACTTTTAATAGAGTTTCTTTCTTGGAACTGCTAAAATTGTATTTTCTCTTTTTCTTTTTTTTTTCACTTTCATGGAAAATGGGCATGATATCAGCCTAAAGGAAAATCACGGCATTCACGTCGAGTCTTTAATGATAGCTTTTAAACTGTGTTGCACTCGAGCCACTGTGTCAATTTTAGAACCAATGCCTACTGGCTGCTGTCAGCACACGGGGAGGTATTCTTTCCCAAAGCACCAGACAACCAAATTTATGCATGAGAAAATTCTCATATCCTATCTTGTTCTTGTGAAAGAATACAAAGCTTGTTGTGTGGGTGTGGGGGCCGTCTGGTGGGGTTTTTTTAATTCCTTGTACAATAGGCTTCTGTCAGTACTGCTGGAGAAGACCTTCAACATCTTTTGATGTCAGTAGCACGGTAACAATTTACAACAGCCACTGGGTTGGCCACTTGGGAAGGGGGAGGAATATTCACCCTGCCTGACTATGCAGAAGTGCTTTAGCACGGTGGCTCAGTCTAGCTGGGATCCCAACCGTACTGCATCAACCCACCCCTTCATAACTATGGAAGGAGCCTGGGGAGATCAGCTGGCTAACTTGAGTACATCAAACACATGCCTAAAATTAAGTGAGGTATATCTGGGGTTTGGTGCCTAATTGTGGGGCAGCTGCCAGAAATCAAGTTCAGATGCATTCACTGATCAGGTTCCTGAACTGTTTTGTCTGTTCGGCCTAGAAAATAAAGCCCAGTTCCTGGAAAAGTCCATGACTTACACTGACACAGCACCTTGGACTACTAAAGAAACGTCTAAGCGTAATTGCAGCAGTACCGTTTCGGTATGGCAGCAGCACCACACCAAACCACTTTGGGCACGTCTTCAGTCCATTGAAGCTTCTGCATCCCTAAGCTCTAGTTTCCTACTTCCTTTCTTCAGAGCAAAGATAGCTGCTGTATCATGTTATTAAAACTGTCATTGAGGGAAAAAGAGAACAAGAGGATGAACAAAACCAGACCGCTCCATTCGTTCTCACTCTCTTCAATGCAGGTGAAAGATGTGTAAATGGGGCTGCACTAGCGGGAGCGCTGGAGAGGAAAGGAAGGACAGAGCAGGAAACATTAGATAGTTGATAATATTGGATTATCAATGAGATAATGAAGTCATCAGTGGATAATGGGATCTCATCTCATAGGGGTAAAAGCAGGAAGCCCCAGCAAGGACACAGCCCTCTAAGACCGGTAACTCAAGCCAACCGTGAAAACCATTTAGCTGTTGCAGGATTCTGCAGTCAGGGAGGGCCAAGGAGTCTCTGAGATGGACGAACTCCTGCCCTCACCTTGAGACATAACGGCACAGCTCAGGTGAGGTATCTCTGGGTTTGCTTTCCCCACTTTGGAGACCTAAATTGCAAGATCCTACTTATCTCCAGGCTAATCTCCTCTTTCACGACCCTTGCCATAGTTGCAAGCAGGCCACCAGGGATGCTTTAGCTGGTAAGGTGCCAAGCATGCACCGCAATAGCTCCGTGCACAGAGGTACTGGCAAGGGGTGAGAAGCTCCTATGCCACAGATCAGCTGAAAAAACAGTCTTCTCACAGTCACTGAAGATCAGGAGGGATCTCCTGTGTCTGTGAATCCATTTCTCTACTTGCATGGGCGTTTTGCCTTATAATGCAGCTCAAAAACTGAACCAACTGCTTTGCGTGGTATGGTGTGAGGTGCGTTCGTCCATGCACATTTTGTCCCGGGCATGCATTGGGCTGTTGTTGATGAGATTTGGGTAGTGACCCGTTGAATAAATTTGGGAGGAGCGGGGAAGAGAAGGAAGTGTACCTGTATCACCCTGCCAGCTGTCTATTGCACACAAGTGTATAACAAGGAACAGTCAGGATTGTACTACCCATGAGAAGCAGCCCTTGCTGTCGTTGGACGGCAGCCAGGTCCCCTCTGTAGGCTCCCCCTGCGGCTCATGGGGAGATACGCTCCCCTAGAGCAGGAGACCCACCTGTATACTCATAATTCCCCTAAAAGTTGACATGGCATTTCTGATGCTAAAAAGAACCCAGAGCTTCCCTACATAAATTCCTTTCTCCTTTAGGAGAAAGGGTGGGCGAGGGAAATCGCCAGCAAGTTTTGCTCCGTGGTACCCACGCAGTGACCTCCACGGAGAGGAGCATCACGGAGAGTTTTGCAGCTGGATGGCGGTGAGGGCACAGGAACAAACCTCTTCTCTTACCAGGTCTCAGCTATTGCTGTTTGCTGTATCTCATGGGCAAGCTGGACTTCTAGCCTCCCTTCAGCCACTCCCAGCACATGATGGCCCAGCCGTCAAGAAAAAATGCATCTGATGGTAGGAATCCCGTGGCAGCGAGCCAGGCCGATGTCCCAAGCTGAGTGGAGCATCCTGGCCCCCTGGGTCAGGCTCCTGCACCAAACCCGCCTGGGCAGCAGCCACCAGCATCCCTGCATCCCCACGTGGCTTTGTCAGATCCTCTCTGGGTGAGATGGCTGAAATGCTTCTGGTCGCTTTGTGAGATCTGCCCGAGACCTGGCAGCTATGCCCAGTGCTGCCAGGACACCCCGGCTTACTGCCCGGAGCAGCCCAAGAGAAAAACAAATACATCACGTCCAGTTCTTCCACTGGCCAAGCAGGGACTGAAACTAAGCCTGCAGTCAGGATTTTGCCTGTGGGCTATGACCAAGTAGGGGGTTAAGAAAACTTGTATATACTTTTTCTGGAAAAGTTTTTTTTTTTTTAAAGGATCTTAAACTTGCTTAAATTTTGATGTTAACTCTCTAACTTAGGGGATATTCTTCAGGAGTGCTCTGGTCTAAACAAGCATAAAAACAGAGCCAAATTTTACAATCATATTGTGAAATGGTAATGTGCTTCCCAGCTTTTGCTGTCCTCGGTTTTACAGTGAAGGTTCTGCTAAAACCCCGTGTAGATGGTTACATAAAGACAAGACTGAAGTCCCCATCTCACACTTGAATGATTGACCGTAATTCTTCAGAATTATCTTTTATGTGACTTTTTCAGGTGAAATGTACAAAAATGCTCCCTCTCTGAAATCCTACTCTCTTTTCAGAAGTTTCTCTGACTTCTCCCAGCTAAGCAGCCACAGAACCCGCAATCTTTCTTCCCTTTTCTGTTCATTCACATGCGTGTCTTGCTATCATCTTGGAAATGATCCTCCTCCCATCGTGAAGCAACGCACTGGCAAACCCCAGCCTGGTATGCCTGAGGGGGGGTGAGGGGGGGTGCCACCGCAGTCACCCGAATCGCAGCAGCCTTGCGCCAGGCAGGAGCCTGGGACAGACTGGTCTCAGCCCCAGCTGCCCCGGTCCTATGATGGAAAAAGTGGTATTGGGAGAGAAAACATCTTGCCACTCCCTGACCCTCCCTGCAAACCACAGGGCTATGTCACCCCTACGCCCACACATCCCTTATGGGACACGTGGAATAAGCTGCAAGGCACAGTAAAACGAGTCAGCCTCACTGCAGAAACGTCACCTTTGGGACTCCCGCCACATACACGTTTATAACCAGAGCTGAATTTCCAGTCCCCTCAGGGCCAGTGCAGGGGCTTGTTGTTATTTCTTGCTTTGGTTTTCAGTGCTATTTTGGCACTTGATTCCTTCCCACAGCACCGACTGTTACCTGCGCACTATGGTTTCCATAGGCTATAGCTGTACCGGAAGCATATTTGTCTGCAGGCTCTGTTACAACTCTCAGTGGTGTTCTGGGGCACGCTCCCGTGCAATTGTATCCCACCGAAATAATCCTGAGCAAACAGCTCCTTTCAAAGACTTTCGCTCAGGGAACATCTGTGGAAAGCAGAGCGGTGCTACTCGAAACAGCCTTACCAATCACAGCACTGCACGCTTTCAAATTGGTACATTTTCAAGATGTTGCAAGACTAGCTCTATTAGAAGGGAAACATGCTGTCTGCTTCATGTCTGAGACCATAATTTAAGTGAAATGAGAGTTCCCTGAAGAGCTGGGCAGATGCCAGACCTCCTTACCTCGAGTAACTGCCTTACGTTTTCTTTATGATCTTTCCCTTTCTAACATCGTTCAGTGCAATATGTTTGACTGCCCTGGCTTTCCCTCCCGTCCCTCCGCCACCAAAGCCAGGACTTTCAGAGCCAGCCAAGACAGGCAGAAAGGACAAGATGTGTTGGGGGCAGCGAGACCAGGGTGTCCCCGGACTGGCAGGGTGCAGGCACGCCATGCCGCAGGCATTCAAGACATTGGCCGCTGCTGTGCCCATCAGCTCCCCAAAGGGTTAGTGGCTCTCTGTGACGTGGGAAGACTGGGGTTTAGGTCTTGGTCAGTCCCAAGGGATTTGAGCTCAGAGCTCTTGTGATGGCAGTCCTCTCAAAACTGGAGCACAGGTTTTTTATCCGGAGAAAGGTATTGCAAAGTGCAATGGAAAACCTGGGAGTGAGAGGCAATCCCCAGCTCCCCTGCCTCTCAGTTCAGGAGCCAACCCAGTATTTGAGGATCCTCCAGAAGCAAAGGCAATCACAAGATCCCTAGTACATTAGAGTAAGCTCTCCTCCCTCTCTGTCATCAAAATGCCCTGTATTTATTATCTTTTAGATATTGTGTTATTGAGAGTTAGCATTTGGGAGAAGAAGGGAGTCAGCAATTTTAATTTATTTTAAGGATGCACCTGAAATAAATAAACTTAAATTACTGTGGAGCACCCTTGAAGGATGAGAGTCCTGCTGGACCCTACACTGAGGCACAAGGGAAGCCCAGCCTCAGCCTCAGACCACCTCCTTTGTAAAGACTGCTTTTGCTCACTGTGCTTGGAATTCAGTGCATCATATGTCAAATACTTGGACGTATACCATACTCTATACCATTCCCTACTATTTTTAATACTCTGCTCTCCTGCAGTGCAGACATCGCTGGGTACGTGTACGTACCACGTGGAAAACGCCGGCTGCCTTGACGGGCTTGAATCCAGCGACGGGGACGCAGTGGTCAGCGTGGCCGTTGCAGAAGCAGCTGCCCTTCACGATGAAGTCGTAGACAGCGTAGTGCAGGGACGGCGGGGGCTGCAGGGCCTCTGGGAGGCAGGGGCAGCCCTGCCGCTCCAGCAGCCGCACCCGCAGGTTGGTGATCTTCAGCTGCGCCTGGGCTTCCGCGCTGTACGGGTCCTCCACGGCGTAAGGTGGTGACAGGGCTCGGTATATCACCTGGGCAGAGAAACACAGCAAGGGAAGCAGAAAGGAGGATGTTAGCCAGCCCTGTGGTGGGCCGGGGGGGGTGGGATGGTGATGGCAGCATCCCCTGGGAGCATGCACCAGGCTCTTGTGATGCTCTTCCCCCTCTGCAAGCGTAGGGAGCAGCAAATCCACCTCAGTCCTAGTGTGCATGAAGTGACCCCCCGTGATCCCCTTTCCACACAAAGTCTGGACCCTACGGGTGTCAAGCGACATTTCACCATTAACTTAAAGCAGAGGTCGGTACCGCTGTTACGCGGCGTGGCCCAGCGCAGGGACCGGCAGTCCTGCAGGTGATGCTCAGGTGGGGGACTCTTCATTAACATTCTCTCCGCCAGAATGGGTGGATTTTTTAACAAATAAAGCTCAGACTTCCAAATATTTGGCTCCTGTGAGTCCCAGGCTGCTTCCTAGTGGAAAAGCGATTAGGTGTGGCAATTAGTGACAGCAAGCTGATAGTCGAGAAAACCGAGATAAGAAAGAAAGAAAAGTGGGGGGCTTCTGAAGTTTAAACAAATACTTATCAGTCAGTCTTTATTTTAACTTGGGTCTGATTGAATAGGTAAATATTGGCCCAAGCCGAAAATTGAGAGCACTAGATAAAAATAACTAATTTTCTTGAAAAGCTTCAAACTTGTTGGTCAAGCTGCCTACAGTGTGACATCAGAAACAGCATATAATTCACATAACTACTATTGGCATAAAATGACACATTTACAACACATGTATTAGTTACTGATACATTTAACTTACAGTGACACTTTCTAAATAGTTAAACAGCTCTTCACTGAGTAGCCACCGAAGACTTGACGAACTACAATATTTGTAAGCAACAGTTCAGTCAGTCACTTGACGAGCATTTGAGGGTGTGACGCAGCCTAAGGCTCCATGCACTGCTCCCAGCACCGGCTTAAAACCTCCTCAAACCGCCCCGCTGCTCCACTGACAACCACCCACACTACCCAAAACACCGGCCAGCCTCCTACAGACAGCAAGGAGGTGTGCGGCAGCGAAGGGCGACCATCGTTTCTTGCCAGGAGGTGCTGCGGGGTGCCCGGCGAGGGGCAGCGGGCGAGCCTGCCAGCGCCGCTTACGGGGATCACGGGGATCCTCTCCCTAAATCCACTCCTACCACAGGATGCAGCTGATACGCTTCAGCTGATGAAGGCTTCCCTTTTATTTCACCAGGATTCACGTATCCTGGAAATAATGACCCCGGTGCTGCCAGCTCGCCTGCCTGCAGGCTTTGCCTGCCGGCTGAAAAAAAACCCACTGCGGGCACCGCTCCTGGCCGGGACCTGGCTTTTCTCCAGAGCTGCCAGGATCCAGCTGGAGGAAGCTTTGTCCTGGCCTGGAAGGAGACTTAGAGCTCGTTTTGGAGCTGAATGGCGGCAGTGTGCTTTTGCACATCCCATTGGCCTGCCAAGCGCGGCCGCTACCAGCGCGCCAGTGACAGCGGGGCTCGGGCACGCTGGTGCCGGATGCCGTGCGCTGGCAAGCACGTTGCGGCTGCAGGCCCCTGCCGCCATCCTGCACCCTCCCAAAGGTATTCCAGCATCTTCTGCCAGAAAGATGTCGATAAGGGAGAAGGTTAATCGGGAGAGGTGGTCGGAGGGCAAGGCCGGTGAGCGGTACGCCCCTCGTGTGGAAGCGTTGAGTCTGATGAGGGATATTCATAAATAGTAACATATTTCAAAAGGGTTTTTTTTCCCCTTTCTTTCAGGAGCATACAGAGTTTTTTCTGCTTTCCTAAAATAAAAATATCAAGCAGATATGAACAGAAATCCAAGCGAACCCAACTATCAGGCCCTGCATCTCTCCCCAAGGCTTGTTATTTACCCAAATTTAAATCAATGTCATTCTGATCACATTTGCTCATTAGTGGCTTTGTGAACACAAGATGCTTTCAGATATGGACAAAAAATTCCTTGGGAAACATCCAAACTGGAGACATTGATTTCCTTTTAGTGGAGATGATGGAAAATGCCGCGTTGAGAATTTTCAGTAAAAACTAGCAGTTTGGGTTCTTTGCGATTGTATAAATTGCATCTCAGAGAACACTTTGCTTGTCCTGATTCGGATGAAAGCGGCGAAGGAAATAATACATAAATGGGAACAATTTATGCTAGATGCAGCTGCAGACTTTCTTCTCATCATTTTCAGTTTTTCTTGTTTATCTATCCCCATTTAATGCACGTGACTGGTGCTTGTAGATTTAGTAAAGACAATTGCAGCAAGGAAATCAATAACCCTGAGCACCTTCGCGCCAAGAGAATTAAATCTTGCCTGTGTGGAATTCAGGGGGAGTTATGCTGCTGATTTCAATGGAGCCAGTATTCTCGCTCAGGCCCTAAAATGTTACAAACATTTTTTTTTATGGCTACTTGAAAACAGTGATGCTAAACAGGAGTCCTATCTATAATTCCCAGGGGCTGCGGACTCTCAGCCGTATTGCTCTGGCTGTGCCCAGCAGCCCCGGCCCCGGCTTCAGAGCCGCGCTGCACCCTGCAGCAGTGCAAAGTGACAGGGTGAGCCCGGTCTCAGTGCTGCCCACACCGTGAACACCCTCATACCTCCCTCCCAGACGCTAGTAGTTCTGTTTTAACAAAATACAAACCAGTCATTATAACATGTAGGACGCCATACAAACAGCAGTTCTCCGCTCTGCCCCGGCCGATTGAGCTGGAGCCCCCAGAGGCTACATAATAAGGTCAAGGATGTGTTTTCCAGCAAGACTTCGCTGTTCAGTTGTTAACCTCGCTGATTTATCCCAGCCTGTCTTGGAAGTCCGCACATCACTGGGGCCACACCATCCTCATACAGCTGTTATGGGTCTGCACCCCTGTGCTGCCCAGCACCTCAGCCCCACGTACACACACAGGTGGGGAACAGCTTTCCTGCTTTTACCTTTCCTTGGACTTTTCCGTGCAATTGTCCCACTGATAGGACTGGCCCTGGTCTGCAGCATCCCATCTATGAACGAACCATGGTTTGCACAGCAAACCTGACTGGGTTTTCACACCTAGAGTTCTGCTGGCAGCCCCTGCCCACGGCAGTCAGAGGCCTCCTCAGCCAAAATATTGTTTAGTTTTAATGGCGCAGGGGAAGCATGTAGGCAGGATTTGAGAAGAACGCGCTGCCAACATGCATGTGTATCTGATGATCATCTCCCTGGTGCCACCGAGCAGGACTTCCTCGGATTGACTCTGTTGGGCCAGCGCTTCCCAGCCACCCTGGGACGCTCGTGGTGACATCCCCAATGCACAGCCATCATTTCTGGTGCCACTGGGCAGGACTTCCTCGGATCGACTCTGTTGGGCCAGCACTTCCCAGCCACCCTGGGACGCTCATGGTGACATCCCCAATGCACAGCCATCATTTCCTCTTCCCAACAGCTCTCCAAAGCCCTCCGGGTTTATCTTATCTTGATAAAACCACACAGAAAACACGCATGCCCAGCTCAACCTGCAGGGACAGAAACTCTCCCCAGCGGCTCTGCCACCGCGGTCGTGGTCTTGGCACATGTCACGACAGCTTTTTAGCTGTTGGGGCAGCCCCTCTGCCAGATGTGACAGGGGGGACGGCAGTTCCCTCCCACCCCCCAGAGAAGCCGCTGCCTGCAGAGCCATCCAGTCCATTACTCTTCCAATCCCGAAAGCGCTGGAAGAAGTCATGCCCGAGGATCCTGCCAAAGAGAGCTATGTTGTGATTACACAAGGGAGATAAATAGCTCGATGAGGTACAGGAGAACATCCTTTTTGATAGATGATGCCGTTCCTGTTTTTACAGAGCAAGGCCTTTGCCAGGAGAAAGCTCCACCACGCGCAGGGGAACACACCCACCCCCTTGGGAAAGGAGCAACGGCAGCAAAATCTGGCCATTCGCCTGCAGCGAGCCTCACCAGAAAGCACCCCACGGTGACCAGACCTCTGGCTTTCCCACTCAAGTCTGTCTGTATGCAAGTGTCTTACTGACAATATGTCAAAGCTCAACATTACAATGTTGGGTAGACAACGTGACTTCTCCCAGTTTGCACCACGTATGATAGCAAAGGGTGAGAGGACTGGATCTTTACATCAGCAGCTCTATAGTGCATGCACTAATCCAAATTTTCTATTTTGTAGAACAAGTAGGAAGTAATAAATTGAAAACCCACAGCACTTCTATGCTAGACATGCCATAATACATCCTATCAGAAAGATATTTTCATTCCCAGTGTTGCTAGCTCACTATAAATGTTATGGTATTTGGGATTCTTCTTAAACACAATCCCAGGAACCGAATCTTTATCTCAGCTTCCATTTAAAACTAAGTGTCTAGCAATATCTCATATCTGAGGAGCAAATGTCACAAACCAGGAGGCAAATAAAAAGAACCTCTGTCTTTAAAACAAAATATCAGTATTTAGGGTAATTCCACATCATGTGGAATTACGCTGTTGGATCCCATGTCCTATAAATGCGATGTCTGCATGAAGCAACATCAATAAAGTGATTTAAAACTTGCATGAGGATTTTTTGGTGGGGGAGAAGTCTCTCTGCATAGCCAAATAGGAACTGTAGACTGCAATCCCTGAGTGAGGATGCCACTGCCATGCCTCGAGAGGGTCGGGTTCACCTGACCCTCCCGGTGGGATGCCCGGTGGTGGCAGGAGGGAGCCCACTCCACTCCCAGGGGAGCAGGAGCGGACAAGCTGCCCCACAGCACCCTGCACGTGACATGGAGTAAAAATATTCTGTTCTTCAGCCAGACCGTTCGGCTCTCTACGGTTTGGGCACGTCATTACACAGACACCCTCTAATAAATTTCCACAGCATTTCAATTTCCTTATGGGCTGTCATGAGCAACTCTTGGTCTGTTGATTACTTCACTTTATTTTGTCTTAGTGGCGCAAAGAGCCTTAGCTACTTGCCATTCCGCAGATGCAATAATGTAGCCCCGTATATAAATAAAACAGCAGCCATGAACATGCTGCACTCAAGT